ACATCCGAAGGTATAACCACTTTTTTCCCGAAAACATTCCACTGGGATGAACTGTTCCATTTGAGTTTTTCCCGGAATTACCGGTTTTTCGTACAAATGGTAAGCGCTCTTGTGCTTCCGGTTGGCGCTGCAAACTGATCGCACCCGCCATTAAAGGTGGTTGTTCAGGCTAAACCAGTATCCAGCAAATTATAGAGGCTAAAAAATGTTAGATGCTGCGACCCTTCGAATAGATGAAGGCCATTTCCGAGTTTCAAGAACTCTCACTTTGAAAAAGAGGCTAGGTGCAAAAAACGTTTTTTCTGAAAATGAGTTTTAATTGCAGAAGAAAAAAAAAATGTTCGTTTTCATAGCATTGATAGCACTTAGCTCCGCTTTGAAACATGCACATACGTATGGGGCAACTCCGAATTGGCCTATTTTTCTGTAAGTGGGAAGATGGAGGCGGGAGGCTTTGACAAAAAAAAACTAATAATAATAAATTGTGTTCAGAAATTCAAAGGGTACGCGTTAGAAGCTTCGGAATTTGGTGGGCTGTTTTTATTAGGTGTTAAAACGCTTTTCAGATCTTGCCTGTAAACGCCTTGACAATCTTTTAATGGGCTTGGCTGATTGCATAAATAGAGTTCATAACTAAGGCCGTATGGACTTACATCATAATTTAGCGCAATAGACATCTCCATATAGATTGTAGTTTTAAATCTAAAAACCAAGAACGATTGCACAAAAAAAAGTTCAAGACCATTGTTACGTTTTTATTATTTTTTCTTTTTTTATTGTCTTTTGTATGTGCACGTGTGTGCCATTTCTTTATGTTTTGCTAAGATTGGGGGATAATTCGCCACGCAGTATGACCTTTCAAGATGATATGCTGGTTGTTTTGTAAATATCTTGTTTCCAAAACAAATTCCAAAACACTTGTTTCTGAGGGTATAACAAACTAGACTACGAGCAGTTTCTCTTTTTTATGTAGTCCATCGAGCCCTCGTTTTGGCGCGTCTCTCTCGCGGCTTCGCAGCTCCCCCGCTCGTGCACTGCTCTCACTAAATCTAAAGAAAAAGGGAGACTGCTCACAGTCTTATAACAAACAACCGTTTAAATGGAACGGTCGAAGTATCCAAAAGCTCACATTGCTATTAAAATCACCTTTTAATTGTGGATCATTATCAGATGAGGAGAATTTCTACGGGACCTCCAAATGAGCATCACTGAGCAGTAGTACTGTGTATTTTGCGTGATACTGCTTGTTCGTCCGCATACTTTGTTAATTTTCATGAATATGATCCTTGGGCGACCAAGATTGAGTTAGCTCATAGCTGTTGACATGCTTTTTCTCGAGAATTCGGCAGTTTATGATTGATATCGAGATAAGCTAATGAAATAACAAGTACCTCACTTAGTAAACAAGCCTTCGATATTTGGGATTTCATTTTAGTGCTTGAAAAATTCCTCACTTCTTGGGTCAAAACGCATGAAAACGTAGACTTGTGTCTGCAGTATACCTCAAATCAATTCATGACAACCGCCTTTCGTAAAAAGAAATTATGGGTCTAACTTTTAAATACACTGCATAGAGTTAAAAACTAAAAGCCCATTATAGAACAGAACTATTTACTCTGGACAAAAAATTTCGAACACAATAATGCAACTCATGAATTTAACCACTATTTACTGTTTCTTTTGGATTAGTTGAGTATCAGTTAATGATATAATAACAGGCTATCTGTAAAACCCACAAATCTTGTTTTGCTCGAAATGCTATAGCTATCGATCTTTCACCATATTAAATGGGTCTAACTTTGGAAGAAACAGTCTAGAAATACGTTTGATTTCAGGGACACTCAAGCATCTGAGTTCGTTTTTGCAGAAGGGTAAATGCAAACCTTTGTTATTGGATGATCGAAAACATGTTACTTACTGGGATAGGATGTTCGCTTGAGATACATAGCATCACTTCCAAGCATGGTCACGGTTACGGCAATGAGCAAAAAAAGGAAAGCTTTAGCTGCCATATTTTCCTTAGTACGGTCTGCAAGTGCTTCGCCGGAGTTACACCGCTCGATGATTGATCGCGATAACTGAACGCCAAGCCAAGCGTCTTCTCAATTTTTATCCTCTTTCGTAACAATGAATCCTCTCAGCTGTTGAGAACTTAAGTTTGTTTGGCTTGGATTTTTTTGCACGCGTCGCGTCTATTTGCCCTTATTCAGTTACATTTTATCTTCATCTGCTAATGCGATTGTGGTGTGGAACGCCCCAAGTATGGGGTCAAGTGAACTTCTAACTGCGCCTTAAACGCGACTGGAATTGTTTAGCAGTTAAAAGTCACTTTTCTATTCCGTCATTTTGAGGTGAGAGTCGCATTTTTTATTTACATTGCTCTATTTACGGAAAGTGTTCATATCAGCATTGAAATATTCGCGACAAAAAAATCCTCATTTGAGCGCTTTGCGAACAACAGGTGTCAGATTGTATGATATATCAGTTGTGTGTAGAAGGATGGTATCCATAGAAACCAGAAGCTGAAATAGTCCTTACAGAGTATCCCACACCGTTCGTTCTTCTGAGTTCAGGTCTTACGCGTCACACATACTGATAGCAAGCTTCTCACGGCCATGAGTGGTGATTGATGTTCTTCTTCGGCTTTTTTTGTCAAGACTAACCCTTGTCATGTAGCCCAAGCTACCGAAATAAGGCCAGCTGTGTTTTATATAACAAATAAAGACTAAACTAATAGCCTATAAAGCTATATTGGGGAGACCATTTAAATTAAAACTACTTTCTTAGGATAATACGTTTTGAACAACTTGGCTGCTTTTTTATTTTCAGGTATTTTCTTTTTGTGTAATTAAACCTTCTTGATCTCCAGGACATTTTCTCACGATGTTGCGATGCCAACTTGAGTAGCGTTTTTGACCTTTCAGTGAAGTACACTTGTTGTGGCGTCCATTTGGTTCATATTTCAGCGTCCGGCTTTTTAAAGCCTGATCATGAATGAATGCTTGGTAACGGTATCTACGAAGGGAGAGTATACATACATTTTCTGCTGCTGGTGAACAGAGCTAATTGTAGTTTTCCCTTGAATGAACGGCCATTTTCAGTTCAAGACTGAGGGCGTGAAGGGAGACTAAAAGAGTATTCGTTTTGTCTTTTAAATTATTTGTTCCTGTGAAGTACACTGCTAGAATTAAATTGTGGAAGAAAAATTTACTTAAATTAAAAAGGTACGTTTGGATTAATGTGATTGCCACTTTAATTATAAAATCAAATATTATTCACCTCCATCAATGAATAATAATGGTTTTTAGTAATTTAATTATGGTACTTGAACAATAATTCAACCGGAATTAATATTTTGGTGTGGGGCGCAAAACTCCCTGTTTATTAATCTGCAACTGCTGGAAATTGGAAGGTTACTTTTATAGTAGAGCTCTCTAGACGTGACATAGCACTGAGCTGCTCTATTTCCTGACTTGGGAATCTGTCGAGGTTTGGCCGGTGTTTCCTGACGGAATTACTGTAATATTTCAGTGATTGAAACTATTCAAACCGAAACATTACTAGTAGTACAAGCCCAAAGGAATTTCCTTGGCTAGACCCACATACACCCACGTAATCGCAATTGTTCGGTGTTTCTACCCTTCTCGGTCACCGCAAGCCAACAAATTAGAAATTTGGGTATAACTGAATGGTTGTTCATGTTTTTTGTTCATTGTTTTTTCGGAATCGTATTATATTTTGTGTTTTTTTAAAGACTTTTGCAATTGAAGTTTAATGTTTACACAAACCGAAGAGTGCAAAAAGCCAAAATCAGCACTGCGTTTCATATTGCAAAGTACTTTTAATACTATCCCACTAAATTTAGATGGACTATTTCGATAACGTTTTTGTTTTGGGAGGGGCTGAGGAATTTGTCAAGCGCGACCAAATTTCATTTCAAAGATCGTGTTATCGTACTTGAGTTTGCTCACTCTTTCATAAATTGTTTGTACAAAAGGATAAATGAAATGGTTCACATTATTTAATGGTATATAATGGCGTGGGTGAGCGCGTGTGAAAAATGTGGTATTTTTAAAAATAAGATGACTGTATTTCTGTTGGCCGAGTACCAATTTTTTACAGAGCAGTGGTAACAGTAACCAGCATATAAGACTTTCCTGTCTCTTAATCGTGACTATAAACCTTTGTCTAGTCACTCAAAGCAGGTCAATGAAGTCGGTTTAAACTCAATTTAAAACATCTCCAAGTGGCAGGAAACGGATTAAAACATTTGCCAAGTAAGGCAGTGGTGAAGTTAATTAAGGTAAAGGAAGAAGTTTTTACGAGACAGTAAAAAAAACTCGCCCCCAGCCCCTCAAAGTGAACTCTCTAAGACGGACAGCTTTGAGACCGGCAATATTATATGCATCCATCATAGAGAGATGCCCGCGTCTTCTTAAGACGGAACTAAAGAGAGTAAAGAAAGGCAGGGAGCAACTCTAGGTGTCCGTTTTAGCAAGGTGTCCGTCCAATCCCATACCAGCTTATACTCAACAGTGGCGGATCCAGACCTTTAGATAAGGGGGAGGCCTGGTCATCCAGACCCTGAGATAAGGGGAGGGGGGGGGGGGGTCTCAAAAAAAATTTTTCGGCCGGGGGGGGGGGCATGGTCCCCTCCCCTGGATCTGCCACTGCTCAGTTTACTGTGATTTGTTGTTTAGTTTATTCCACTTTAAATAAAGTCAATAAGCCACATGATACAAATTTCACAAGGGTGATTTCCAGGGTCGTCAATCGAGCAGCATTCCTCTGAAAAAAGGCTCGATTCATGCCATTCAGGAAACACCTCGGTACAAGGAACTTTAAACTGGATCTACATTTTGACAAAGTAGGCATACCGTCTTTTTTATGATCTTTAAGCAATTGACTCTCACGACCCTTCATATTACCATTTAATGATTTAAAAGAAATATAGGGCTATTTTTAATACTATTTTAATCCAATATATGATGCTCTTTTCCCTATCTGTTTCACTTTACAGTGCATTGTATTTTTAAGTTATCACAGACTTTGAGCTAGCTTTGAACACTGTAAGTAGTACCTTGTGTCGGTTGCTATTAAACATAGGGCTACTCTCACTCAAGAGTTGTATACACCTCCGCGTTACCTACTGCATTTCACACAGGATCTAAGACTTAACTGAGGCTGCGGAGCCCATAAGCAACTTCCACGCAATCGTGTCACAGGGTTTTCAGAGACCATCCTATTTTTAAAACGGTTTTGTTGCGAATTCCACAATCCAGTCAGCAAAACCTACAGACTGACTTAAAAATGATGTTTACGTTTAGTTTCCTTTTTCATATCATTTACTTCGAATGTGTTCATAGACATGCTGGAGATTCTATTTTCACAGGAAAAAGTGCCCTAAAATGTGTCTAAAAATAAACTGGTCTGTAAAAACACCGTGACACAGGCCTTAAACATGGGATAAGGGGCATCTCCAAGTGGCAGGAAACGGATTAAAACATTTGCCAAGTAAGGCAGTGGTGAAGTTAATTAAGGTAAAGGAAGAAGTTTTTACGAGACAGTAAAAAAAACTCGCCCCCAGCCCCTCAAAGTGAACTCTCTAAGACGGACAGCTTTGAGACCGGCAATATTATATGCATCCATCATAGAGAGATGCCCGCGTCTTCTTAAGACGGAACTAAAGAGCGTAAAGAAAGGCAGGGAGCAACTCTAGGTGTCCGTTTTAGCAAGGTGTCCGTCCAATCCCATACCAGCTTATACTCAACAGTGGCGGATCCAGACCTTTAGATAAGGGGGAGGCCTGGTCATCCAGACCCTGAGATAAGGGGAGGGGGGGGGGAGGTCTCAAAAAAAATTTTTCGGCCGGGGGGGGGGGATGGTCCCCTCCCCTGGATCTGCCACTGCTCAGTTTACTGTGATTTGTTGTTTAGTTTATTCCACTTTAAATAAAGTCAATAAGCCACATGATACAAATTTCACAAGGGTGATTTCCAGGGTTGTCAATCGAGCAGCATTCCTCTGAAAAAAGGCTCGATTCATGCCATTCAGGAAACACCTCGGTACAAGGAACTTTAAACTGGATCTACATTTTGACAAAGTAGGCATACCGTCTTTTTTATGATCTTTAAGCAATTGACTCTCACGACCCTTCATATTACCATTTAATGATTTAAAAGAAATATAGGGCTATTTTTAATACTATTTTAATCCAATATATGATGCTCTTTTCCCTATCTGTTTCACTTTACAGTGCATTGTATTTTTAAGTTATCACAGACTTTGAGCTAGCTTTGAACACTGTAAGTAGTACCTTGTGTCAGTTGCTATTAAACATAGGGCTACTCTCACTCAAGACTTGTATACACCTAGGCGTTACCTACTGCATTTCACACAGGATCTAAGACTTAACTGAGGCTGCGGAGCCCATAAGCAACTTCCACGCAATCCTGTCACAGGGTTTTCAGAGACCATCCTATTTTTAAAACGGTTTTGTTGCGAATTTTGAACATCATTTAAATTCCACAATCCAGTCAGCAAAACCTACAGACTGACTTAAAAATGATATTTACGTTTAGTTTCCTTTTTGATATCATTTACTTCGAATGTGCTCATAGACATGCTGGAGATTCTATTTTCACAGGAAAAAGTGCCCTAAAATGTGTCTAAAAATAAACTGGTATGTAAAAAACACCGTGACACAGGCCTTAAGTATGGGAGTTGCTTGCTCCTATTTATGGGCTCTTGACTCAACACACATCTAAGTCCATAGGCTGTGTCCAGCAGAGGGTCATTTTATTAAACAAATCAACGCAAATCCAGACCAAGATGCTATGATGAACATCACTTCTTCATCATTTTAATAAATTCAAAAACCTGAAACAATGTTTCCTGGACTAAAGCTCTTGCGTACATTCTAGCAATTTTGAAAATCTGGATGAAATCCGTTGTGCTAAAAATAGAATCAGCCAAAGCAAATCCGAGCGTGGAAGGAATAAAGCCACGCCCATATTCCACCATCCATGTTCCAGCTGTCCAATGCATTGCCGTGACGTCACCCCAAGTATGATACACAGTTTCCCCAGGGGAATACACACGGCTGCCAAAACGACCCTCTGTCCATTGGCGATATGATCCAGTGAGTAAGGTATCAGAAATGTTGGCCCAGTAACGTCCTGAATGAAAAGAAGACAACTAATGATGAATATCTTCCTTATTTTATCGTTGCAAGCCTGTATCTCGCTGAAAAATAAGGATCTTCTGTATAACCACGATGGCGACGGCGCAGTGAAAAAAACATCACTTAAAAAGTGAATTTGCATTCTTTCAATCTCTATCACCATTATTCCAACACGCTTAGTTCGCCAAACACAGGCAATTGAATTTCTAAGAAGACTAAGAACCATACCCAAGTTCAGAAAGCATGGGAAAACTTCTTCGCCCCTTTTTTAAAAATATATCCTCAAATGAAATTAGGCATTTTCATGTTGTAGTCATGCACTAATTCGTGCACTGATTCATCCAGGATTCTGGATTACACAAGCAAAATTTTCCCGGATTCCAGAATTACGATTCCCTTACAGTACCTGAGGGTGGCAAGTGTACAAACTGCAATACCTGAATGTCCTTGGGTGTCCAAAGCCGTTCCAAAGAACAGAACATATTCTGTAAGTGATGCATGTAAGACATACATTGATCCCATCCAGCCACCTGCATTAATAAACAGCCATTCTCTGACCTCCTCAGGCAACACATGGCCAGGATACTTCCTTTCAATTTCTAACGCAATGTTGGAAAATGTGGCAGATATACTTTTATCTGTTTAAATAAGAGATGTTAAACAGATTACTATTTCAGTGAAGATCACTATTAAGGGACGACATCACAAGAATTATTCGTTTCATGTTAACTATAGTATACCTGCCAACTTTTTCTAAGATATAAGCGTGAGATTTTTATCCTGGGAGTGCTGGGATTTTTGAAGACGACACGATCATTTCCGAAGATTCCCGAAGAAGTCCAAAGACTTCCGAAGACGTCCGAAGTCTGCCGAAGGCGAAGTTATCGAGTCCCAGTCTTAGGACGCGTATAAACTCGAGCTCGCTCCCAGTGCTTTTCACTTCAAAAATCAGAGATCGCGAGAAAGGTATTGTCATTTATTCATTTTACACATGGTTTTCGTTCCTTAAATGGGTCTGAGTTAACATATTTTTGGAAGTTGTGTCAAGCAAGACCGCAGCAACTCACATTTTTCAATCAGGCGTGAGAAATTAGCCGCAAGCATGAGCCGGCGTGAGATCGAAGTTTTCAAACCTCAGGCGTGAGACTCACGCCTAAGGCGTGAGAGTTGGCAGGTATACTATAGTCTCCCTCGCAACCGTTGTTGGTCTTTTTTATCTCATCATATAACGCAAAAAATGAGGAGCGTTGCGTGACGAGACAAAAACGGCTGCGAAGGAGACTCGACTATGACAACGTTAAATGCAGTATTTTCTTCTTTAGTAAGAATTCATGCAAAATCAATTCTTATGCTAATGAGTGTCTGTTGGTAGCCCGTCGGATAAGCGGCATCAGCCGATTACTATATGTAGCACAACACAGTGCCAGAAGTTTGATTCGTTGGCCCGCAAACAAAGTACCAACGGATTCCTAAAGCAAAACAATGCTCAACCGTTGAGTGAATATTAAGCTAACTTTGGAAGAGCTAATACATGTAATTTCAGCTGAAACCCAGGCCCCAGTTGTTGAAAAGGTGGATAGCGCTATCCAGTGGATAGTGCAATTGGTTTCCTGAATACTTATTTACTAGATAGTGGTTAATTAATTTTATCCGAAGGATAGCGTTATCGAACGTTTGAACAACCCGGGCCAGGTTCAGTATATAAACATCATAATTACAAAAAGTCATCTTTACTTACCCTTTCCGACATGGTGTCTTGCTATCTTTTCAATATCTTTTGCCTGGAAAATATAGCTTTTATTTTTCAACCAATACTGAATACCAAAAATAGCAAAACAGATGAGAACTACGTAAGTGAGCACAGACATCCTTCGCGTGCCACCGATTTCGTTGTGTGATATGCGTGACCAGCGTGACACCTGATCGCCCACGAAAAATCATAACAGCGGTCAACATAATATTCCTTCCCAGTCTTTCTTCGGATGCCTTGAATATGGCGGACGAAACGTGCAACCTTAGCAAGGACATTTAACTTCAAGTGATGGAATCAAATTCAAAAGGTAACATAATGTTTTTTCAGATCAACAAGGTGTATTTGACGAGATATTAATTTGTAATGCAACCCTGTTTATGAAATATCACCTCATACTACTTTCCTATCTGCAGTCCTCCCAGCTGAAAATCATGTGGCAATTTCTTTAAGCTTATCCCGTTTACATATAATATCCTTTGATAGAGTTCAAACTTTCTTTATAAACTCTTAATTAGTTTGATATTTCTTTCACAGGTATTTATTCTAAACTCAAAGATCCCTCAGTGCCTAGGGACGAGAAATTGTTTTCAGCAAGACTTGCCTGGGACTCCACTGATTATGTGATACCCAATAAACAGCAAGTTCTCCTTGACTGGATCATCCAGGAAATTTTCAATGAAAGCAAGAAAGGTGCTAAGTAAGTACTTTAGAAAAATGCTGCTTGGTTAGCTCAGTGGGTAGCAAGCTGGTCTGCCGAGCGGTAGGTCATGAGTTTAAACCCCAGCCAGACCAACAACAATGGTCTTAAGAAAAAAAACTGGTAAGATCTTGCTGGCTTTGATTTAAGATGTTGCCGTAGTTCAGATAATAGCATCTTTGGGCGGTGACTTTAGGCTGTTGGCTTTGTCTCCTTTATCCTTCTTTCATTAGTAAGATCGAAGGGGACAAAAAAGAACCCATACTTTTGATCGAAAAGAGTAGGGAAAGTTTTCCCAGAGGTGTGTTCTACCTTTCACATTTAAGCAATAGAAAACATTTTTGTGTTTGCATAGCCTGATATAAACCCGAGAGGGGTTGGGAGAATTCGAAAGGTTTGCATAACTGTCGGAAATTCTCCCAACCCCTTGAAAAATGCAAAGCTGTTTGTTATCATGGCACTGATCACAATAAAATTGAAAGAGAAATTCTTACCAGTCGCGAAGTCTTGTACACGAAGTCTTGCACAGGTAAACAGTTCTTATTTTGCAAAAAAGATGCTTTCCAAAATATAGATTTTTCTCGCTTAAAATGTCAGCTTAAGCACTAGAAAATTGACACAGCATGTTCGTAAAGATTTTCCAAGTTTCAGCTGATAAGGGAATGGGTAAGTAAAGTAAACTTGTCTAGTTTTCAACTAAAAAATCTTCAAAACATCTTGACATCACAACTATGTTTACATACTCTCATGCTATCTTAGCTATTTTATAAATCATTCATATCATGGGCTGGGTGGGTTACAGTAGGCTCATACATGTAAATGGATGATATTAGGGCCGTTTATACGAGAGAAAAGCCGTGGCTTATTTTCTCTTGTATAAACGGCCCTATTGACTGCTAGTGGCTTCCTTGTGTGCTGATGTCCAAGCTTACTGTTAACATGTTGATGAATGATGTAAAGAGAGCATGTCTGTTGTCCTCTCATCCACGTTTCATTCACTCATTCAGGTAAAGTACTATACACAGGTCAGATGTATTTATAAAATTCCTGAATTGCTTATTACTCAGGCATACTGATTACAAGGTATACACATCTTTGTGGAACTTACTTCGTCATGCTCTTCAGAGTCAGCAACTTGTTTCTCATGCAAAAATACCTGTCACACTTAAACCCCAGCTTGTCCAGGTTTGTCACCAAATCTCTTAAATCGTAATTTGTGTTATGTAACAAAATACATGTAATAATACATTGTATGTGTTACAAGTGAAGGCATGCAATCTGCAGTGCTTGATATGTGATGAAAGTATCAAAATATTTGACGATCTGTTCATATTGCCCTTCAGCAGTATGTTTGAAACTAAACATTGTACATGTGAGACCTTTAACTGCTTAAATAAAAATGAAAATCTGATCTTTTGCCAATCAATGTGTGAATGGTGTCATCAAGGATAAGAAAATGTTTTACGTGGAGCTATAATTATGTAGAAGAAAAGAAATGTTGTAAAGTAAAATAAAATATTCAAAAATTGTAAGAATGGGCAAAAGTATGTATGAAAGGTATGAAATAATTTATTTATAAAAAATTATCAATTTGAATAAGATACAACAATGTAATGAGTGTGTGTCACAGAACAAAGATAAAAGGTCTGCAAATAATTATCTGCTGCATTCCTTGTAATTTTGTTCATTGTTTCTATCAGGTATTTACAGATACGTTTTTGTGTCAAGAAACTGTTTGGGAAGAGAGCTTTGTAGATATTGTTACCAGCTGCTGCTTCACTGTTTTGTCAAATACTCAGCTGGCATCCTGTTTGCTGTCAAAGTTTGAAGGTTATGTAAGTGGATAGAACTTTATTTTTTTGCATGTCGACAAAGGATTGAATTTTGCACAAGGGAAAAATGTTTCCTATTTGGATATGATATACATGATTGTACAATGTACAGCTGTATGTCTGACCAAGTTACCATGTTATTAAAACACTCACTGTGTTGACCTTCATTTTCATTATTAATAAGCACATGACAGTTTATGAAACATTCAAGTTTGTACTTTCTTTCAGGTGACATTTTTGTCAGCATTGCTATCTTCATTTGAACCAATATGCTGTGATTCACTAAAAGTGGTCCATCATTTAGTTGAAGTCTGCTTAGAAAATTATCTTCTTGTGCAAAGGCAGCAAGCTAACCAACGAAAGGTGGGTGTAAATCGCAATCTAGCCCTAAATTAACCAAGAGAAGTACAGTATGTGTAGATCATTAGGGTGTCCAGGTATGAGGAATAATTTCTGGTTATTGATTTTGGGGGTGGAGGCGGGAGGGGGGGGGGTTGCATTCATGTAAGAACAAAATTTAAATTCACAGTGATTAGATCCTACACAATATGGCTTCCTGCGGCTCGCAACCCAGCAGGAGTTTTGCTGCTTTCACCTGCCAAATCTGGAATGACAGGATGCTACAGAAATTGCAAGTCATCAGTAAAGCCTCAAGCTTAGCCACTTCGACCACTGTGCCTAATCAGACGATAGCACAAGGCAAGACAAAAGCCTTTCTTTCTGATACTAAACAGGCTGGTATACAACTGGACCATACAAGAAATCTCACCTCGCAATGGTGGGTTAGCTGACGTCAGACGTCTGACATCATACCTCTCTCATCAGACATCTGACATCAGACATCTGTTATCAGACATCTGTCATCAGACGTCTGACATCAGATGTTTGACATCAGACATCTGTCATCTGACATCAGACATCTGTCATCAGAAATCTGAAATGAGACGTCTGACATCATACCTCTGCCATAAGACGTCTCACATCAGACGTCTGTTATCAGACATATGACATCAGACGTCTGACATCAACAGACCTCTGACATCAGACATCTGTTGCCAGACATCTGTCATCAGACATCTGACATCAGACATCTGACATCATACCTCTGTCATCAGACGTCTGACATCAGAAGTCTGTTATCAGACATCTGTTATCAGACATCTGACATCAGACATCTGTCATCAGACATCTGACATGAGACATTCGTCATCAGACATCTGACATCAGACGTCTGACATCTTACCTCTGTCATCAGACGTCTAACATCAGACATCTGTCATCTGACATCTGACATCAGACATCTGCCATCTGATGTCTGACATCAGACACCTGACATCAGACGTCTGACATCATATCTCTGTCATCAGATGTCTCACATCGAACGTCTGTCATCAGACATCTGTCATCACATGTCTGACATCAGACATCTGTCATCAGACATCTGGCATTAGACATCTGTCATCAGACATCTGACATCAGACGTCTGACATCATACCTCTGCCAACAGACGTCTGACATCAGACGTCTGTTATCAGACATCTGTCATCTTCTGATGGGCTACTCGTGTGGGCAAGATGGCCTATCTTGCCTGTTTGGGGTCACCTGCTTTATCCTGCTCGAAAAGATTATGATCTGGCCAAATCAATACTAAATTCTTTATTGTTTGGTCAAGATGGCTGAATGTCTTGTGGGAGCAGAACCGTCTTTTGACTTCTTTTTGAATGAGTTTCCTGCAGAAAGATAAGGTTGGCCTTTGTTTTCGACACCACGTAAAGATCTTTCACCTTTTACGAAAGTTATTTATGGCCCTTACATTCAGTGAGATCAATTTACAAGTGTCCAATACCATCTTGATGCATCAGTGAAAGAAAGATGGGGTTGATGAAGCTAATCAGAACAAAGAATGAAGCAAAAAGAGAAAAGGAAACATGTACTGTACATTATGAAACAACGTGTGAACCTTTGGGCTGAGTACCTAAAAGAAAAGTAAAAAGAACTTACAAATGACAGTATCCATATTAAAAGAACAGCATATCACGTATAAGTTGAATAACATCCTAATTACAGCACAAAAAGCCGAAAATTGTATAAACAAATATCAAAGAAATCCCGAATACTAAACACCCAAAACAACTTGACACTGAAAAAAAGGGAAAAAAAGATGGCCTGAGTAGCCCGTTTTCGACTTCTTCTTGATTGAGGAGGAGAAAAAGAGGCTCTTTGGAGTTGCCGCAGCCTGAACTTCTAGACTGGTCGATCTTGTTTTTTCTGGTAAAACTGATTTTTCAAGGGGCGAGCATCTGTTTACTGACAAAGCTGATGGTCACGACCGAGTTGCTTTACCAAGTGCACTATTATTAGGCCTGGGTTGAAACTGAATCCTAGTAACATGCAGTGCATGCTCAACAAAGATCTTACTTGATTCAGGTAGAATCTTTCCTAAGTACACCTAAATCGAGCAAGCGAAGGAAAGGCTTCACTGGTAGAGTGGCTGAATGTTTGCCTTTTTTAAAAAACATTTTTCTCGTTTTTTTTTTTGTGGGGTGGAGGGGGGGGGGCATTTTTATGAACCTCGACTATATCTTGGACCCTAAAAATGCAAATAAAATAAAACAATAATCTAGAATAAAATATGCAGATGAACCAAATTATATTCATTTGGCTGATCATTCGTGGGAAGGATGACATTTTCTGGCTGGTGTGTAATGGTAACAATACATACATATTCTTATTCCAGAATACAGCTGACTATACCTAACTATCATCTTTCTGAAAATCAATAGGTGTTTGCTGCTATGTGTCAACAGCTCTTTGAACCATTAGCCATCCTGTGCCATAAGTTAAAGGTACATGAAGTAGAGTGTCAAGGTGAACTTGGTGATGAGCAGCTAAAGAAGGAAAGACACATCTGTCAACTGGTGGAGTTAGCCCTGTCAAGATCTCTTTTTCATTGGTAAAAGTTTCCTGATAATTTTGTTAACTTGTTCTTCCCATTGTTCGTTCTAGTAACATAGTAATAATTATTCCTCGCAAAGCAAGGTTATCGGTAAAAAATTTTCAAAAGTCAGGTCGTGTCGGGGTTGCTATGGTTGGTGGAATCTCGGCTGCTGTTTAAATATAAACAAGACAAGAATTTTATTTGTACCACATACAGAAAGAAAAGACATTAAAAGGGAAACTACTTCTGTATGGTACAAGCCTCCTAGAAAAAGCTAATCTAGCTAGGAGGCATTATAGATTATTTAAGAGGTTGTTTCATGAAGGCACTAGTAGAAAACAATTTGAAAAACAAACAAACAAATAAACAAAGAAAAGAAAAGGAAAAAAACGCACATGCACAGACTTGAATCACTGAAAAATTGAGGAACATTTCTCAATTAAATGACGTGATAAAATGGCAAAAATCACACGCGTGAGTGACTGGTGATGATTCGCGACGGAGCACAGGAAGGAGAAAAAAGACAGACTCGTCAATTTTATCCTTCCTTTTTTCCTTTGCACGCAACTGTACATTGAAGGGAACGAGGCAGGTACATTAGGTTGTTTGTATGCTGTTACCTAGTAACAAAACCATGGCAAACAACAACGCATGCCCGAAGCTGTAATTTACAATCAGGAACTAATGCCAGCCTATAGGCCCTTTGCAGCTAGCAATTCACGTGGTATAAAACAGCCGTGCTGGCGAGCAAAAGTTGCACTGGGACAAGACAAACAAAAGGCCAATGTCATTTAAAATTTTATTTCTTATGTTTGTCTTGTCCCTTTGAGTCTCTGGCTTCCCAGAACAGTGGTTTTATACCACGTGAATGGCTAGCTGCAAATGGCCTATTGCTCTACTAATTGTAGATTTTGACCAGAAAACTGCTAAACTGCACCGTAAGTTCAAATGGCCTTTTCCGGCTAAACTTCTATGGGTAAATGTGTCGAAACGAATACTGACTTTGAGGAATGTAGGTTTCTGTGGTGTAGTAGTATAGCTGTCTTCTTTGGTCATGCGATAGATTCTGTGGAATGTCTTTTTTGTCTTTTTCTTTCTTGGCTTTTCTCTCCTTTTTTTCTTTCTGTTGGATCCTTTCCTCAAGCTTCGGGAAGTTCTGCAAGACACGTATTTCTAGTTTTATACTACATGAGAAATTTCTTCAATTTGATTGGCTAATACCAGTGGTATTTCAGCTTAATTTGAAATTCCCACATGTGAACATTACAAAACCTTTACGGGCAGTAGTATAAACAAATAATAGAATGATTTGTACGTGATAGTGGGCATAAATACCACTAGTGATATTTCAAAATTGTCTCAAATTACGTATAACAATTTCGAAATATCACTCGTGGTATTTATGCCAAATATCACTACAAATCATGCTATTACCTATAGTAATCGTCATCTTCGTCATTATCCTTTGCATGTAATAGGGATCATTTAGCAGAGTATCAGCAAGCCTTGAAAGGAGTGAGAGAGGAAAGGCAAACAGAGTCTCAAGAACCCTCCAAGAAAAAGGCCAGGATTTCCAGCTATCCTAAACTGCTCTTTGACAAATTATGGGAAATGTCGTTGGATTCAGTTTCGGCAGTGAGTAAACATCTATTCCTTTTTGATAAAAAAAAAAGAATAATTGAAAATAATAAAAATCCAAATGTAAATAAAAAGAATTTAAAAAACCCTCAGAACTGGCTACATGTATTTCAATGTTTCTATAACCTTAAGAATAAAGATAAGCGAAAAAAGTTTAACACACCGTTTCGATATCGCCATTATTAAGGGACAAAGATAAAACTAAAAACTGACTTAATATATACAGTTTAAAGTGACAAAATAAAGGACAGAAGTAATATGTTTGTTTTGTTTATTCTTAAGTGTTTAACAAATTTAACTTGTTTCTATAACCTGCCAGGATCATGAATCTCCAGCTTTAAATGTCTCATTATTTTGCTGGTTTAATACATGCAGGTAAACACGGTGCGTGCAATGAAAGATGTCAGAAGGAAAGCATTATTGGAACTACTCCCTTTCCTGTTTAAAGAATTTATTACCTCCAGTAGGTTCGTAATGCTCTTTATTTTTGCTTATTTGGTTTAGGCCCTGTTCACACATATCCAGATATTTTATATTTTATGTTTTCAAAAGCGGTTCCTAGCGTGGAGATTTTTGAAAACGCCGGCTTCTCATTTACGTGTGGACGGACGAAAACAGAGGTTGTCGAAAGCGAAAATACATGTACTAGCATCACACATGCTCTTTAAGGGATGGTATGACATTCCCATAGTGTTAGCTTTTTCATGTGGACGTGCGAAAACTATTCAAATACGCTACACGTGGACGCGTATTTTTTTGAAAATGGAGAAAAAAACATCCGTTTCCACAAATATCGGCGAATACGAGTGAACAGAGCTATAATTGATAATTGAAGATGTTCATGTACCAAACCAAATAGGGGAAATCATTCCCAATTTCTCGAACGGTAACCCTCGATTTCTCGAGCCGCTAGTACTTGCCGGTTGGCAGTCGACCTCGATGCGCCTTACCCCAGGTGACAAAAAAAAACACCTTGATACCCAACCAGGATAACCTTCAAATAACTCGAACCCAAACTGATTTCCCTCCTTAGTAATTTTACCCCGATTAATTTTGTTGACCTTGCTAATAATTGAAAATGTTTCTTTTTTCCCTTGAGCCGATTTGAAAAAATATAAACAGGGATTAGATTGTAGTTTGAAAATTGTTTTATTTCCTGTACAGAAAAATGAATAAATCGACATCTTCGGCAGAGTTTGACTTTTTCACTGAAATGTGTGAGATTATGGGTGTGTTAAATGGCGGGTGTCAGTCATCTGTTTGCGCCTTACTCCATCAGATGCTGGAATGCATAGTTTGGCAGGACGTTTATCAGGTGAGTAATACTTTACATTTTGATAATGTAATGCATGTATGTGTCAAATAAATCCCTGTAAAATCCCTTAGTACGGAATAGTCAGCCCGGAAAGAAGGTTAAAAATTAAAAGTTTTGACTGAGTACTCTCTAGTTTTGCACTTACCGGAACAACACAACTAAGCTAGACAATGTTGTAATAATAGCTGGAAATTTTTTCCCAACAGCGCGCGCTCTAATTGGTTACTTCGAGGTCACATGACATCTAACAATGAAACTGTTTCCCGCCAATTGCAAAATCTATGACGTCACGACCGCCGTTCAAAAATTTCCAGCTACAGCTGTATGTAACAAATCAGTTTAAGACTGGTCCCTCGGGAAGCAGTTAATTTTGTCTCCCTCGAATCTCAATGTTTCCCTGGGCTCTGCCTCGGGAATCAAAATTAACTGTTTCCCTCTGGAGCAGTCACTAAGTGTTTATTATTTTCCTGCGTCTTCTGGACAGATTATATTCAAATGCGCCCGTAATTACAAAATATACGTTGCTCCTTGAAGCCCAGTCAATGTTCTCTGTACATTGTTTACACTGTTTGATGATCATTATTATTTCTTAGGTAGCAAATGACAATTCAAATGGCTGTGTACAGTTCCTTTGGCTTGAGAAGTTGGTAGAAGTTTTAATTCACGAAGCCGAACTTTGGTAAATATTTTATATCTTCGCACAAGACGTCATTTTGGAGATTTTCCCGCTATTTTTGTAACCCAGACGGGGGTTTCCCTTTGGGGTTTCTTGGTGACGTAATACAAAAGATAGAAAAGACACTAAACAATACCCACAGCTCAACACAGTACCCACAATGCCCACTCTTCAACACAATAGCTCACTTACAATAGTTTCCGCAACAACAAGAAACCCTTTATTTGGCCTAAACGGGTATCTGCCATCCTGAGTTCTTTATTTTTGTTATTGTTATTCAAGCGATGCAGTTTTTAGGTGCCTTGATGTCTTCTTGAAACTTAATCACTCCTTGCTCGAGCCACGTTTGGAAATTATTTGGAAGATGCTGTGGAAGCCGGAAGAATATGGTGCTCAACATTCTTTGATTTCTTCTCTTATCACAACTTATGTTAAATTACGTCAGGTATGTAAAGCATATGAACGTATCGCCGTTAATGTTGCATTTATGACTAAAGTGAGTTATTTGATTTTGTAGCAGTTATTCCCTCAAGTCGTTTTTCCTAACAAAAATGTCTTTTGTTTGTGGCTTTTGTTTTTGTAGTTTGATAAACTGGTTGTCGCAATTTTAACTTCATTAAGAACCCTGGAGTCTTCATCATTTGGTCTAACACCACCGTTTAAACAGAGGCAAGTTATGTTGCTTTTTTTTGTTTTGTTTGTGGTGGTGATGCTGGAGCCAGGCCTCGTGTGCAGGATCTCTTGGTCCCGTTCTAAGAGACCCTGGGAACAAGACTGCAGTAAAACCAGCCTGGCTCTGGATGTCGACTTGCAATCCAGAGGTTTGGGTTCAAGCCATGCCCTGACCACAAGCTGAAGTCTAGTTGATTATTGGCCACTAGTTTAATTTATTGGGCACGCTCTTAAAACGCTACCTGGTTTGCTTGGTGCCAGTTGGGAGATTTAACCTTGTTTTGAACGATATTTGAAGTATTTGTTTATTTGTTGTTCGTGTTGATTTTGTTCCAATGTAAATTCTCGGAGCGAAAAGTTGTTTATTTTCACTAGAAATTTAAACAGTGTAGATGGAACCTTGTACCGTTGGCAGCCGGGTGATGGTTTTAACAACAAGTATTCACTCATACTATTTGTTTTTGGTTATTGTTTTTTTCTTTTTTAAAGCGATAATGATAATAACAGGATCTTTTGTACTTTTGACATTGTATTTTATGGCATGGATTGATAGGCCTCCATTTTATCACCTACCTGTATTAAGCGAAAGCGAAAGTTTATAACCAATTACACGTTTTCCCTATTTCAGGTTCACTAAAGCCATACAAGGGCTTCCATTTGGCCAAATTACGTGTATCTGGAACATATTCTTGGAGGAAATTAAAGAGAACTACATAAAACAATTAGAATCCCTAAGTGAACAGGTTTTGGCAACAAAAAAGAACAAGAGGAAATCCTCGCCGCATTTTTTAATCATTTATAGGAAACTGGAGTACGTCATGAGTATTTTTAATACATTTATTACAAACATTGGTTTCGGAGGAATTGGAGAGGAACTGAAGACGAAACCGTCTGTGATGTCTATAGAAAAGTTTTTGCGGCAAACAACAAAGGAGGTACTTGAGCCTATGGCACGGCTGGTGTCGCAAGCAATCAGTCGCGCGGTAAGTGCGTATATATTCTGGGTATAAAATCTTGTTTGGTCCCTCCCCGAAGCTGGGAACGTTTCGCGGAAGTTTTGTAGCAAAACAGGCGTAGACGTCTCTCTTGGGAAACGTTCCGTCCAGCGACGAGGAAAGCTAAGAGGCGACTGTATTCGCAGCAGGCTGGCGAGTGCGTGTATCAGGTAGTGTATTACTGCCTAAGGTTTATAATAATTGTGCCTGATTTGGGTATGTATGAAATCTTCATGGAACAATTTAAGTTCTGGTAAACTGACCACCCACCCCTCCCCTTAGCCAACATGTTGATTTAAGTGAGAAGTAAATGTTAATTTTGACTTAGGGGAGGGGTAGGAGGTCAGTCGTTTAAATTGATCTTCAATAACGAAAGTTTAAATTTCCCGATGTTCATTATCTTTTTGCCATTTACAAGCAGGGCCGAGGATGTAAATTCTAGCCTACCAAGAAAATAAATCCAGATAGTAACCCTTTGAACGAAGGAGACTGGTGTCTTGTATTTGTAGTAACGTTGTTGTGGATGTCCTTGTTGTGGATGTCCTGTGTAGGGAAACTTGAACTCTTGACTACCATTAGTTATAAGCTTTCTCTTTTTCATCCATTTCTTAACCCCGACCGGCAGGGCTTAACTTGAGTACCGTTTATACCACACCGAGTTTCGCGAGGCTTATTGCGGATACGTATTTCTAGATATAAGCTTTCTCTTTTTCAATTGTTAAAACACGCTTGCTTACTTCCCTTCTCTCCAGGAAAAAGAATCGGCCTTTTTCAGTGTCTTACTGTTACAATATTCCTTGGGAGAACTGGAACTGTTTCTAAACAAGTTTAATCTGATTAAAGAAGACGCCGAACAAACCAAGCTTCTGCCGCCATTGGTTTGGAGTGACGAGTGCAGTGACTTTGTACCGACAAAAGCCCAGGCGACAGTTAGCGACGAAGGAAAACCTGGCCGGCTCTCTTACCTTAAGGTCTACACAGAATGAATGTGCATCTGCACTTATATTGTTATTTATGTTGTTATTGCACTTATGTTTTATTTCATGTACAGTGAAACCCCGCTTTTAGGGACATCCTCTTAACTCGAACACTTCATTATTCATCCTGCTTGATACGGACATCCCGTTAAAGGGACAGGTTCACGGTTCAGCGCATGCTCATTTATCAAACTGCTGTTTTTCTGCCGGGACATGCTGTATCGTCTGTGCAAGCAATATGATGACAAAGAACCAATCTGCACACTCCCCTGGCAGTCACTTGCACTTGATCAACTTAAATATTTGCAAATAGCTGTAAATTAATCAACCATGGAATAAAACCTTCGGGTCAACGATAAATTCAACGTTGGTAGTGTTGGCGTAATCCACTAATTTTTTTCTGCGATTTTAGTACTCCTCCATCCTACTTTAGGTTACCCTGAAATACAATTCTACTTTGACATACACTCTGAGATCGTTGAGATACATGTGAGTGGGATTATTGACCGATAGAATTAATAACAAATTGGAAAGAAGTAATTTAATTAATGAGCATGCGCTTAACCGTGAACCTGTCCCTTTAATACTGACACTTTCTATGGCCCCCTCAGTGTCCGTATTAACCGGGTTTGACTATACTGGCGGGCTACCCGAGCGGACATGATAAGCCTATCTTTCCCGCTCGGGATCTCCCGCCATTTCCCTCGGAACGGAAAAGTTGAAAATTTGCACCCGACGTTCGAAACTCCTTTGCGGTGGTGAAATTCCGTTATTTTTTCTTAGTGAGTTTCAACTTAATGGCCCCTAGCATGCAGTTGTATCAGCAGGGTTTTTACGGTACAGTGTGATTTTTTTACAGACTGCGTTGTGTGTTCAAAACATCAGATATCTTCTATTCAAGAGAACAGAGGTCGACGAGGAACTGTATGAACGAACGAGACTGGTGTCCTGTGTTTGTAGTAACGTTGCCGCGGATGTCCTGTGCAAAGGAACTTGGGATCGAGAGGTGTGTTTCTCATCAATAATTATCTCTTCACCACTTTCGCATTGCCCATGTAACACCATAAAATTTTTCAGTCATTTCGATTAAACTGGTGAAATAAATCGGCCATGGAGGGGAAAAGACACTAATTTCCCGAGGGAGGGGACGCGGTGCAACTGGCAAGACCTCACGTTTTCGACTTATCAACCTTGAAGCCTCTAGTAGTAGTTTTTTTGACCATATTTGTGTATCATTTTCAACAGGTGTTGTCAATTGATAAAGAAAATGCTCCAGTTGCACTCTGGGAATTGTTTTCGAGACACGCTGTTGTCATTCTTCCTCTTTGTACTGCTGACCAGCAGCAAAAACTTGCTCACTTGCTCGTTAGAAGCATCACACAGGAGACCCAAGCAACTAGACAAGAAAAACCTGGGTATGCTTCTTCCAGATATTTAGTGGCGATTTGTGAGCAAGCAAGTGCGTTTTCATTACAGATGGTGATGAATTCTTGAGTTGTTATGAAAGAGTGACATGATGCCGCAAGTACTTATTCATTTCTCAGAAGGAAGTTTTCTTAAATGAACTGTGTCACGAAATTTATCCAAATTTAAACAGCAGGAAATGTCATCAAATTGAGTGAAACAAGAAAATAACAGCTCAAAACTTTAAAAAAGGGGACGGATGGGCAAACTTGAAGAAGATTAAAACGGATTAAAATTGTGGTTTTAGAAAACTTGTTAGCCTAAGAGCTTTCAAAGTTCATTTTTGTTGTTTGAAATGTTTGATACGATTGGGAGACATATTTGTTTGACACGAAGTTGTGATTCGCTAGCGTTAATTTTTTATAGCGAATAAGGACGTGTAATTGGCATTATTAGCAACCGTAGCCTTGCCCCTTTAAGTTTTCAGCAACTCTTCCTGAAAGGGGAAATGAGATGTTTACAAGATTGTTTTACGACGATATGTAAATTCCTTTTGACTCGCCCGGGTTTTACCACTTTGAAAAGGGAAGGGTATTAAACGTACTTTCCATTTCAATTATATTACCCAGGTATATCGCAATGTCTGATGTTTCCATGGAGACGATTCAAAGTACTGCTTTTCACGAGATGCTTCCAATGCAGACGACCACAGTCTGTGCTCTTTGGAGCCAACTGAAGCAGGCTACTGATTCTAAATGGTTGGTTTTCTCTTTTTATACTACTTCATGAGAAATTTCTGCAATTTGATTGGCTTAGTGCAGTGGTATTTCAGCATAATTTGAAATACCTACATGTGAAAATTACTAACCTTTTGCAGGTAGTAGTATAAACATATAATAGCATGATTTGTATGTGATATTTGGCATAAATACCACTCGTGATATTTCAAAATTGTCTCAAATTTCACTCGCCTAACGGCTTGTGAAATTTCGTATAACAATTTCGAAATATCACTTGTGTTATTTATGCCAAATATCACTATAAATCATGCTATTACCTATAGTAAGTCCAGTATTTCCACTCCAAACTAGTACATAATGTAACCTCGGTTAGTAACGTCTGCGAAGCGGCGCCGAGATCCTTCTTCTGGGCCCCAACGGACTCAACGAATTACCGGAAATGCGTTTCGAATTTCCTTTCATTCTGATTGGCAAATCCACAGTGGCTTTTTTAACAAGCCAACCATGGCGCGTACTCAAATCTTAGTACACAAGTGTAGGCCCAGAACAAGGATCTGAGCGCTGTTTCGCAAACGCAGAGGGACTTAACCAGAGTTTAGTTCGTCTTTGGCGTAGGCTATGCCAAAAATGCCAGGAGCCTTGATAAATCAGAGGCTTCTGAAGATGGAATCCTTAATTATAATACTGAAGTTCTTTGACGAAGTTTAAAGAACTCTCTAAATTTATTTAAACTTGCATTCAATTCGTTCTTATGAAATTAACGAATTACAGACTTGACATTTTTAGGGTGCGATTAAGACTGAGTCAGTGCCGTATCGAAATACACTATAAAGCTGTTTTCGTTGAAGAATTTGGACCTGCTCAACTTTGGGACAACTACTAGACCCTAGGACGACTGCGGGGAAGGAATTTAACTTAAGGTTCTCTCACGTCTTCTCTCAAAATAGACACACCGGAAAGCTTCATTTCACTTTTTTCACCATAAAGGTTAGCTCAGTTATTTTCATTGAAGGGGGTTAGGCTCTCTTCGATCGCAAAAGGGCAAAAATCGAACGTTTGATGATTTTTTTTCCGCCACTACGAACCCGTCATAAAAATATTGACAACGGCGCTGACAAGCGCGCGCTCGGAAAACCTCGTCTTCGTAGTCGTCCTCGTTTTAGAATCTAAAGTGCTAATGAAAGAAGCGATAGTGTCCCCAATAGCCGCCTCATAGTGCAATATGACACAATAAAGACTGGGGATGTTTACCATTTACACAAACCATCCGGGTAAAAACCTTTTGCGTAAACATAAAACTAAAAAATTTGACGTGGTGGGAGAACAACCCGCTACAAAATATATCGAAATCAGCTGAACAGACGAAAAAGAGTGGAAAAATTACATCGCCCTCAAATCACAGCCCATATTTTCTGAAGCTTCCCAATCGGAATAGCACGAAACATTTGATTTTCCAACCGGAATTTAAGGGATTTCACTTTTCGAAATAGAGACTAGTTTATAGGATTCAGTAGGGATTTGGGGGCCTTCACAAATATTTTGAAAAGAGTAAATCGATCTTGATCGTTTGCGTTTTCCTCTTATTTCTCGATTTTACTTCTTTGACTTTTTTTCTCCTGTAGTACTTCAAAGGGTTTAGGCAAAAGACTGTTGAAAGCTCTCTCTGATATAGTGGCCATAGTGGATATCTCAACCGCTGAAAATAAGCATCAAGGAAGAAATTTTGAGGAAAGTAGTGACGATGATTCCCCCATCGAGGAAGATGAAAGTTATGGTGGAGATGAGATGGAAGAAGAGGGAGGAGAGGAAGTTAATGACGGCGCAAATGGTAAATTATATGTTTTACTTCTTTAGAAAAAAAATAATAAATCACTGCGTTGCTCTCACGTGTCAGTAAATTCTCTTTGCGACCAACAACAGTACTTTAAATTGTCCTATGTTTTGAATGCTCTTTTGTCAGCCCATTCCTTACTAGTGCTTATGCTAGAAAGCAATTTTTTTCTCTTGTTTTAGACGATGATAGTTTCGATGAAGATATTGTTGACGAAGAGAAAGTGAAAGAGACGGGAGAAATTGAAGGACAAACTGTAGGAAACTTAAAGGATTTTTATGCACTTGGTTGTGAGCTCACTGACATCTCAGGAAGTGTTCTACTTGCCGAGGATTCTGTCGTCAATGTGTCGGCTGCCGAATCTAAGCGAATTCTAAAGGTAAACCTCCGGGCACTAAACGCCAAAACTGATGGAATGCTCGATCACGAGTACATGTGATCTATCAAACACTTAAAACGTGTTTCTTTCGATGTGTACTGCCCATTTATTCCAACCGACTTTGGGATTCTGAGTGCTTTCTGCTGTCTGCCAATTTATTCCCTGTTGAAACTTTTCCTTTTATTTTGCAGGTTCTTGGGTATCTGCCTCTTGATTGGCTGTCAGATTGGAACCACGCTCGCTGTTTGACAGCGCTGTTCACGTGTGACATTCTTTTTACTTCTGCAGTTCTTAAGGTAACTGCTGACTGAATACGCATAAACCGCGGGCTCCCAAATGTCTTGTTATCAGTTAACCACCGTTACTTGATTAGCGGTAAGGGCTCTATGGTATACTCAAGAATTTGGATACGAACAATTGTTGACGGGTGTTAGTAAATAGCATCCCATTCTCTTTAGACTCGGTATAATGACGGACAAATTCAGTTTTGTCGAATGTCAGTTCGTAGGCGTGTGCTTTGGTTTCTGATCAACTGTGAGATCATACACAAATTAATGTCCCCGAACAGCTGGCGGTAAGCTTAGTCTCTATCCGTGGGCGTACCGATGCGCCCCCGGTACTCCCCTCTGCGGGGGAAGGGTAGCGCGGGCGCATCGAACACTCACGTCTGGAGACTGAGATTAAGCTTGGCTGGCGTTCGAATGCGTCGTTGATAGCCTGCATAGCAGGCGCTTGTTGAAAGTAATAGACGCAAGAAAGAAGGGGGCGCGCGAGGGAGACACGCGAGGGGAGAGCTCCCTCTCTCCTCGCGTCTCTCCCGCTCCTTCTCACATATTACTTTCAAGCACGTGCTACGCAGGCTTGCTCGCTGAATGCCACGCCCTAAGGTAGATATAAAAACAAGATGGCCGCCCGTACCGGTAAGCGCTCGATCCTGTAGTCTGCTTCACAGCCGTTCTTTGTGTCGCCACGCAAGGAGCAGACTGTCAATCCTGACGATCTTCAGGGAAAATAGAGGACTGAGAATAGTCTATTTCATACATTATTGATCGAATATTTGTTTTGGGGGCAGTCTGAGTTTATAGTTGAGTGTTTGCCTTAGCGGGTCGCTACGGCAACCACAGTTTTTTTATTTATCTTTTTTAAAATATAACACTCTCAATGGATCGTACTCTTTTACACAGGTTCAGTTGAATCAGCATTCTTTTTCACAGTTACCTCCGCCTGTAGTCGCGTTTTTATAATTGCATAGGTCTAGTAAAATCTGTTAGTGTTAAAAATTCATTCTTGCTTTTATTTATTTATTTTAGTCAAATAGGCCAGCTAATTAAGCAAAGATGAATTCAGTAAAGTGCCCATTATCTCAATATCGTCACAACAACAAAGGGGAAAAATGATTGTCACGCGCTGGAATTAAGGGGAAAGGGGGAGGCGGAACGCTCGCTCTCGCGCGCCCAAATTCCCCCTTCCCCTTCCTTTTAACGCCTTCCACGCAGGGCTAGCAGCCTGCTTGAGCAACATACCGCATCCCCTCCTGTTTTTAGGTTGAATTAAATTACCTTTGCGGTTGTGTTATGTTTCAGGAGTGCTCTCCTGATCTACTGAAGACGTTGCTGTGGAGCCGCCAGCTTCTTAAAGCGCTCTTTGATGGATGTGTCAGAAGGCGAAGGTTCATAGCTCATCACCTGATCGATTTCGAATCTCTCTTACACTGGTGTTTTGGTTCGGCTACCAAGCTGTGGCGAAAGTGTCTCGAGGTTAGAACAGTCTTCCTTTAATTTATGCCCTCGTTAGTAGCCTGCGAATACAACCTCATATCCTCGCTCCTCACCCGTAGAGATTTTCCGGGGGGGAGAAACGTGAAACGTCCCCATCGGCGAGCAAAGGGCTGAGACGGCTGTATTCGCAGGCAAGCTCGGTGGCGCATATATAAGGTTGAAACGTTCCATACCATATTACACCCATCCCCCCATATAAGCTAAGGCCCCAGCCAACCATAGCAGGCCCCGACCTACCATATTAGGCCCCACGTATAATAAGCTGGGTTACTGGTGGTTAAAGGGTCAGTGAAAAGTCCAGGAAAAGCGGCAGTCCTGTCCAAATTATGTTTGTTGTGTAGCGATTTTGGCTTTTTTGCCGCTTGGAAAAAAGGACAGATGAATTCTTGTCACGCCGGCAGAAGCTGTAATACCACATTTTACTTTTCCGATATTGTTGCATGATACCGCAATATAAGGGGAGAAAGCTTTCTGTACTGTTGACTCCCGATAACTCGAACCCTCGCTGACTCGACCCTCGCGCAACAACTTTTTTTTAATTTTTAATTTTTTTAATTTTTTGTAAGAGAGATGTGACATATTTTGTTCAGAGCTTAAAACAAACAAAGAAACAAACAAAAGAATCTCTTCAATGATTGTTCCACTTACATGATCAGACAGAATTTAACGTCTTTTTAATTTTGATTGTTTATTATTTACATGGGACACAAATCGGTTACCAGAAGAATGGCAACGGCCGCAGCTAGACCTACATGTACATTCTGTGATTAGAGTCACAACTTTGCCGAAATAAAAAAATTCAGTTAAGTAATTGCAGCGTTCGTCTTGGAGTTTTCCGATCTGCAGTCTTTTATAGTTGTAAAGTCACTTTGACATTTTACCAATATTGGTCCCACCGCTACATTGTCGTTGTCGTTGTTACTGTTACAAACAATATTGTCGCTATTGTTGTCAGCAATGGTCATACCATTGTGATCACTATTGTTGTGACCGTTACAATTGTCGTTGTTGCCGCCAATGCTGTTGTCGCTGTTGCCAATTTCATCGTCGCCAATGATGTTGTCACCTTTATACTTACTGTTGGTATAGGTAATGCTGGTGAAATTGCTGTATTGATCCTTGTCGCAGTCAATATTGTTGATGCCGCATTCAACTGTGTTGTTGGCCGTGCTGCGTGAATTTTCCTGTTCTTTATTGTGACTTCGCCATCTCTATCCTTCTCGGCCTGCCTGTACACAAGTTACTTTTTCCGAAGAGTATTTCAATGAAAGCTATCCGAAATTGTCTTGTTCTAATACAGTAAATAACTGGGTTTATAAGCGAATTAAGTAGTATCAGAAAGATTCCTATTGCAGTAGAAATACGTACTGCATTTAACGACGCTATGAAGGAGATTCTATAAAGTATAAAAACAAGCATCAAAGGCAAATAAGTCAGTACCAAGACGAAAAGAACTGTCGTGGTGAGCTTAAGCGCTTTCTTCTCCGTTAAGAATTTTCTCTTGTTGTCTTCTGAAACTTGGTTGGCAGCGATTTGTTTTTCGTGACGGCGAGTTTCGTAGTAAAGCACGATTTGACAGAAAATAATAATGGCTACACCTGACGATATAATGACCGCGTTAACATTACTTAACTGGCTTGCAAGTAATTTTTTAGGTAAGAATGAAGTTGCTGTCGAGAGCAGTGCCACAATCCACACAAAAGCGGAAGAACAGAGAAGGCGAGTTGCTGTGACCATATTTGTATACCTGTACGGGTGCTTTATGGCAATGTACCTGTCTAGATACATCAGGGCTAGGTGTAAGTTCGTCGCCCTGCCTAATACCGTGAGAACGGCGATCGATAGTTGCTTTATAAGGCAGTATGTATAAGACGACTCGTCTTGTAAAACTACTATGTTCAAGGCGATAAACATAGGCTGTCCAATCACGCCCATGAAGCAATCTGTGGTCGCTAAGCACGCAAGTGCTATACTGGACTTGGTTTTCAATCGAAGTTTTCTTTTCACAGCGATTATCACAAGTCCGTTCAATAAACTTGTAACGGGGGCAGTAATTATATTCATGATTATTAAGAATACAGTTACTGCACGAGCCTCTGTGGTGTTAGACACAAAAATCCGTGCTTCGCATTGTACACTGCTGTTGGCTGCGCTCGAATTCATCTTGATTTGTGCCTTGTCTTTTCGAAGTAAGCTGAAACTTTTTTAGGCGTTATGGCTTTAAATCTCTCTTGACAATAGGCGATTTGGACGATGATGGCTTTTGGCTACTATTACCAGAATCCTTCAGCGTTTTTCTTCTAGTGGAAATTAGGGCTTTTGTTATTTATACCTCGCTGGGATTTTCAGCTTTAAATGTGTGGAAAGGAAAAACGAAATGATTTTAGTAGTAGCAGTAAAATGATACTATCATGCAAATTTCCCCTCTATATACATAAGTGCACCTGAAAGTAGTACGATTAACTTCTTCAAAGGAAACTCTTTGGTTCGTACCGCGCTTAGGAGACAAATTGGAAAAATTTCCTTATAACCGCATACATTAACCCTTTACGCCTTAAGAGTGATCAGCATCAAATTTCTCCTTGTAATATCAATGCTTTGTAAAACAGAGTGGTCATGAGAATCACAGACATGACCACACAAGATGCATTTGCTTGATATTTTATCAACTTCTCCCCACTACTTCTGTAGGAAATGAATAGGGCAACAAATGAGAATTCAAATTTTGATCTTAGGGTTTAAAGGGTTAAGGGTCACGAAAATCAAACCAGATACGGCTTCTGGTCACACATAAGAACGGTGATTTCGGCGCGATTTCTGTGACAGAGCGAAACTACGCTGCGCCGATCTCTAAAGTGGAGAGTCACATATCGGATAGGTGTTAACACTCTACTGGATAGTTTTTCGTGGCAGTACAAAAAGCCATCTGCTATAGGGTGTACATAGCCTAATTAGGCACTCAATCTCATCATCTACATGTACCCATCTCATCGATAGTCTTTACACTAGAGCCTGAATAAGCTAAGAAATATTTCAAGGCAATTAAATTTTAAATTTGTCAAGTAAAGGAAGCTTCACACACAACCGTTTCGTTTTTACTTCAGGTTAACTTAAGGCCATTTTCCCACGCAACGTAATTATTAAGACTGATTGACATGATTCGCCTTTCTCAAAGCTCAAGAAACCGCAAGTTCGCTAAGTCCGTTTTAAGAATGCTTTTCAAGTAACTTGAAACTTTCTTGAGTCGTTTTAACTTTCCGACTTTAATGAGATTCAAAGTAAAGTAACTTGAGATTTTACTTAGGCCTTTACACACGTATCTTTGGTTAAGTAAAACTTAGCAGCTCTTAAGTGTTACTTAACGGCCTAGTGTAAAGAAAACCATTGTCTTCCAAGAAAATGGCGAATTCCCTAGATTATTGCATATATACATCGGTAGTAAATGCGTTACTGCATTAATAATTCAATTCAGTTTCTGTCATTTCTTTTTCTTTTACTATTTCTTTTTTTGCCCCCTGTCACTCTCTCACCAGCCACTTTCTCCTGGTTTCAATTGCTCTGTTATTTTCGGTGGATAGATTAGCCCATTTAATGTTCAACGCTGCAATTTTTTATGGTTTATCAATATTTCGGAACTGAGTCAATTTCATTGTTAGGTTTAGGAAAGCGAAAATTGTTCGAAATTTGTTCCGAAAAGGTTTTATTTTGTTGCAAAAATCGCCAAATTTGAGGCGTTTAAAAAAAGATTTAGAAAAAAAAAAAATTATAAAACTCTTTAAAATAATAGCTCAAATCCGAAAGGCTTAGTATTGTTCTGGCTTTTGTTCTCTTTGAACAATAGGTGTGTGTTAGGCCGCAAAATGTAATACTAACGCAAAATGTAATAACCGCCTCAAAGCAAAATGTAATACGTAATGTATAAATGTGATAGTTGCCGCAAAATCAAATACTAACGCAAAATGTGATAATCGCCGGAAAATGTAAAGTTGGCAGGTATACAAAAATGTCTTACATAACAAAACAATGTGTTTCTTTCACCAAACAGTGAAGCCGGATTTAGCATGCGTTGTGAATTTTCTCACTGGAAGCAAAGTTACTCATTCTCAAAACTCTATGTCATTTGTTTGATTCACACTAGAGCTCTCAAGTATAATCTAGGTGTACTTGGAACGTACTTTGAGTGTAAAGGGAGAAAATGCACCTACTTCAACTTTACTTGGTGACCACGCAAGCGATCGTAGTTCAGGGTAACCGAAATTCGTCGCCAAGTATGGGCTACACCACACTTGAGAACACAGTCACTTGACCAATAGGAAATGGAAGCCATGTGCACGAAGTGCATGTGCAGCAGTTCCAAGATTCTAATGAACGGACATACATTGCACATATTTAGCCAAGAGCGTTGCAGAAGAGGCCAAGCCCTACGGCGATTTCTTTGCCAAAAACGCGTTGTTCAGCCATTCTAGCGAAATACTGGGGAAGACTTCGCTTGTCTTTTGTTTTGTTGTTTATTTTTCTGCCGCTCCTGAGCATCTTTTGCAGTAAAATCATTTATGCATATCAAAAACGTGATTGATCGCGACAAAAGCTAAAACTATGAGGTCTTTACGCTGGAAAAGAGCTTTTTGTAGTTTTGTATTTATTTTATCTTTGCTTTTAACTCAAAAGGTTTTAACCGTAAAAGTTCAAGTAATACATTTTGTCAACAAGTGTGAAGCCATGTTTTTTACAGAGCGACTTAAGATTTTCAAGTGTACTTGAATCAAGTGCTTACTTGAAACTAACTTCGCTTCTGGTGTGAAGCCAAATATTGTTACAAGTTAAACATCCGTTTCTTTGCACTAAGCTAATCACATATTGCCGCAGTATCCCCTCCCCTCCCCCCTAGTTTCAATGTTGTAGAGTACATGCGACTTTCTGAAGTGAAGCCTTACGCCAGCTTAAGACCTTGTTTGATAATGTACATCGCGTCACATGTTAATTCTAAAATAATTTATCCAATATTATGACAATTCACTGTAATCAACCAAGAACAACATTGTCCGGGGGAGGGAGGCTGTTTTTGCCTTTGGAGTAGGGGGAGGGAATTTTTTGTCGCCGATTGTAAAGTGGGTGTGTTTTGCATAGGCGGAACCGTTTGCAAAATGTTTCTGTATTAAAAGCGAAATTCATGTTTTTGTAACTTTTGCAGCACTTTTCAAAAATTATCTGAGTATGGTGTCGTTCTGGCACCATCCCTTCTGAAGGGCTCACTGCAAAAGCGGCACCTAGAGATATTGCTAATTTTCCAATGTGCGCAAATCTAACCAAGTTTTGGACTGTGGCTTTCTTGCGGTAAGAAAACATACCGTTAAAAATTTCGCCAATGATTTTCACTTTATTTGGCCCAAATCACGTATGCAGAAAAACATCTTCCTTTCTCGCGGTTTCTTTTGTTGCCTAATATTAATGATCGCCGCAAAATGTAATGCTAACGCAGAATGTAATAATCGCCGCAAAATGTAAAGCTAACGCAAAACGTAATCATCGCCGCAAAATGTAATAATCACCGAAAACTATAATACAAATGCAACATGTAATAAGAATCGCCGCAAACTGTAATACTAGCGCAAAATGTAACAAGAATCGCCGAAAGCTGTAATACTAACGCAAAATGCAATAATCGCCCCCAAAAATGTAATGCTAACGCAAAATGAGGTAACACTGACACAAAATGTAGTAAATTTTTAACGCAAAATGTGATATTTTTTCTACGGCATAATGTAATAACGCAAAATGTAATTTCCTAATAATATGCATGGGTATTTCAAAATCGACATGGTGACTCAGTAATATTCAGTAGCGGATCCAGATCTTCGATTAAGTGAAAAGGTATTATTAATAATATTAATATTGGCCGTTTTCACACTGGAGACGCATTATTCGTCAAAATTCAAAATCTGTCAAAATTGACGGATAGACAGTTGGATAAAGTCAGGCGGATTGTTCATCCAAAATTAAAACCGTTCCATTTTCAAATTAAGACGTATTATTGGTCTGACGGGAATTATCCACCGGATAAGCCGTCTTAGACGGATGATCCGTCTCTAGTGTGAATAAGTTCATTGATATTAATAAGAGAGATTTCCAATCTGCAGCCTTTTATATTTGTAAATTCATTTTAACATTTCGCCAATGTTGGTATCACTGCTATTATTGTCATTATCGACATTGTCGTTGTTACTGTTACAAACGTTATTGTCGCCATTGTTGTCACCAGTGGCGATGCCAATGTTACCACTATTGTTGTGACCGTTATCACTAGAGACCTTTAGATGCATGTGAGGATGAGAACCACTACAAGTACGAGATTTGCTTTAAACTTTTTTCGGGTATTGTAAAAAATAGACACCCCGGAATTCTTCATTGTACTTTATTTCATTAGAAAAGTTAGCACTGTTATCATTTATTGAAGGAGGTTAAGACCTCTCTCTATTGCAAAATAATAAAACTTCTAACATTTGATAACATTTGAAAAATGCGCATGTTCTGGTACTGTGTAGACATGTGTTATTTAGCTCCGCAGAAGTAGTGACATTTTGAGGTAATTTAATATAATATCATTTGGAGTGAGACTAGCCTTTGCTATTTGTGAACAATGAGAAAATAAAATTGTAAATATCTGAATAAACCAACAAATGAAAATGAAAATAAAATGATAACTTGTTGCCGCCGCTACGACATTCTCGCTAAAATGACGACGGCTACCCGACGGCTGTCACGCGCGAGCACTACCTACTATTGAGAAAATCTCGTACTCGTAATCTTTCTCGTCTTAGAATCTAAAGCTCTCTGTTGTCATTTTTGCCGCCGATGCTGTTGTCGCTGTTGTCAATTTCATGGTCGCCAATGCTGTTGTCACCTTTATTGCTACTGTTTGTAATGCTGGCTAAATTGCTGTATTGATCCTTGTCTCAGCCTATATTATTGATGCCACATTCAACTGTGTTGTTGGCAGTTCTGCGTGATGTTTCCTCTTCTTTATTTTGACTTCGCCATCTCAGTCCTTCTCGTGCTCCATTAATTATAACCCGCATTCCAATTTCTTGAGCCTGTATATTACTTTTTCTGAAGAGTATTTCAATGAAAGCTATCCGAAATTGTCTTCTTCTAATACAGTAAATAACTGGGTTTATAAGCGAATTAATCAGTACAAGGAAGACAACTATTGTAGAAGCAATGTGTACTGTATTTAACGACTCTATGAAGGAGATTCCATAAAGTATAGTAACAACAATCAAAGGCAAATAAGTCAGTACTAAGACTAAAAGAACTGTCGTTGTGAGTTTAAGAGCTTTCTTCTCCATTAAGAATTTTCTCTTGTTGTCTTCCGAAACTTGGTTGGCAGTGATTTGTTTTTCGTGACGGCGAGTTTCGTAGTAAAGCGCAGCTTGACAGAAAATAATAATGGCTACACCTGACGACGTAATTATCATGCTAACTTTAATTAACTGGCTTAAAGGTATGTTTTTAGTTAAGAATGAAGTTCCAGTTGAGAGCAGTGCCACAATCCACACAAAAACGGAAGAACGGAGAATGCGAGTTGCTGTGACCATAGTTGTATACCTGTACGGGTGCTTTATGGCAATGTACCTGTCTAGGTACATTAGAGCAAGGTGTAAGATCGTTGCCCTTGCTAATACCGTGAGCACGGCGCTCGATAGTTGCCTTATGAGGCAGTATGTATAAGACGTCTCTTGTTGTAAAACTACTATGTTCAAGGCGACAAAAATAGGCTGTCCAATCACCCCCATGCAACAATCTGTGGTCGCTAAGCATGCAAGTGCTATATTGGACTTGGTTTTTAATCGGATTTTTGTTTTCACAGCGATTATCACAAGGCCATTCAGCAAACTTGTAACAGGGGCGGTAATTATACTCACGATAATTAAGATAACAGTTACCGCACGAGTCTCTGTGGTGTTAGAAACGAGAATCGTTCCTTCGCAGCCAGTTATGTCTTCGTTAATGGAGGGTGCGCTTGAATTCATCGTGTTCTGAGCCTTGTTTTCCGAGGTAATGAAGAACTAGCTTTATATCGATCAGACGCAATGACTTTAGCTCTTTTTAAACAACTGATTAACGTAAGTACGCAAGTGCGATTATTTTTTTTTTCAGAGTAAACACTTTGCTTCGCACAGCACTTAGGAGACAAATTATTTGGTAAGAGGCCCTAGCGAATATTAAGGTTCTTTTAAGTAACATTACTCTGCTTTTTGTGAGTGTTGGGAAAAAGGAACACTCTGCCAAAACAAAACAACTTGCTTTTCACCAGAATTTAATTCATTACAAACCACTGGAAATGAGTCGGCTCTTGAACCTCATTAAGCGGTCTCTTGTCGCTACTCCGGCGAGTGGCCGCTTAAGATGCTTAAGAATGTACTTATTCTTTCGCAAAAACATCACTTTATCCTGAAGCAAACAGCTTTTAAGGCTTGTCACAACTTTCGCACTTGAGACAGGTGTAAGACCGAAAAAAAACTACAGTATTTTGACTAAGTCTCCTCGTAATGATGGCATGAGGTTCTACCAACTGAACACAAAAGGTGCTGTCAACTATGGCGTAAACTTTATAACCGGAAATGGAGGCAATGTCTGTAAACGTATAATGTAACTCGTATAGTTTACGAGTACAAAATGAGTCGTCACCATCTATCTCGAACTGCATTTGCGTTTATTATATTTCCAAACAAAGCCAACCTAAGTGGATCAAACGCTTAGTGACCACTTAATGGGGTTGAAAACAATAAGGAGAACTCGCGTCGGGGTGGCCAAAGGCAGCCGCTTAACAGAGGTTTAAATGAGGTTCCCAACTCAACACCAATAATACTATAAAGAGTCTATAAACTTTCGAAATGGCCAGGCCGTGGCTGCTTGATAAAGGTAAAGTTCACAACTCTATTCTACAATATTTTCGGAACTTTGGTTACTTACCGGTTAACAGGTGGCCGGTTAATGGAGGTTCAACTGTATACTTAACTTTTAGCAAAATTCTAAACATTTGGTTTCTGTTTAAGAAAGTGATTTTCATATTGTCATGTGTAATCCAAGGTGGAAGATTCAAAAGAGCCCTTAAAATGGAAAAAGTAGATTGAGTTTAGAGTGTCTTTAAAAGGCCAGCAAATCAACCTGGTCGCAAACAAAAGATGTGTTACTGTGACGGATCTAATGCATATCCTGTCAGTTGTTAATCAAGTAGTGAGAACGCTACGTAAGTGAACTTGAGTCCCTCAAGACTATTCCAACTCGCTTTAATAATTTGCCATTTATAATCAAATGTCGCTTTTAAGCAAAATTTAGCACTTAATGATTCATTCAATTGAATCGTTAATAAACAGTAAGTGCGATCAGTTTGAACAGAAGGCCAACAAATAAGATCGGTCTCAATAAAAAGATATCTTAATGTTACGGATCTACCAAAAATCCTTTCAATCGTGCAAAATCAACTTTAACCGAAATACGAAAGCAACTGTTGTGATCGATGTCACTGTTCGTTCTCTCGCTTTGAGACTAAGCTGTGGAATGAGACACCCTGTCACTTCCGACATCTCCCTGAGAATAAATTTAAAAAAAAAAACACTCCGCAATTTAGTTTTTGATCTGATTTGAATTCAGAAGATGACTAGTGGTAGTGAGTCATCAAGTTTTGCAACCCCTTACCACGACCAGGTTGTAAACAAACACTTTTATCAATATGAATACCAGCAGCTGTATTTATCAGTGTTATTGTTTATCCTCCCACTTTACAATTCTTTTCTATTTATTTTTCCTCAAAAATGCAAGAACGTCCTGTATTGTTTACATTTACTTGGCTAAACCTCTAAGTAAAGTACATGTAAGTAACAACAGGTCAAACAGTGATTATGACCAGCAAGATATTCTTTCGCACTGTAGGATGCATGGTTAATAAAAAATTGGCTAAAAATTGGGCTGCAGAAAATTAAAGTCATCTGAAAAGTTTATTGATTGAGCTGTCAAAGCGTCGCGAATGACTTCAAAACCCTTATCGCAGCCATTATTGGCGATGACGCGTTCAACCGTTGGCAGTGCTGAGTGAATTTTTCTGTTTGTTATTTTGACTGCGCCACCTCAGTCCTTCTCTTGCTCTCCATCAACTCCCATTTTAGTTTATTGAGCCTGTAAATTACTTTTTCTGAAGAGTATTTCAATAAACGCTACCCGAAATTGTCTCTTTCTAATACAGTAAATAATTGGGTTTATAAGCGAGTTATGTGTTATTAAAAAACTTGCTATCGCTAAGGCAATTTGAGCTGCATTTAAGGACTCAAAGAAGTAGTTATTTAAAAGAATTCGAACAACAATCGCAGGCGAATAAGTCAGTACTAAGAAAAACAGAACAGTCGTTGTGAGTTTAAGCGCTTTCTTCTCCTTTACGAATTTTTGCCTGTCGTCTTCTAAAACTTGGCAAGCAGCGATTTGTTTTTCGTGACGGCGAGTCTCGTAGTAAAGGACGATTTGACAAAATGTAATTGTGGCTGTACAGAAGAACGTGATTATGTTGCCATCAGTCAGCTGTTTGTAAAGTTTGTTGTTAATGAGCGAAGAAGTTACAGTCGAGAGTAGTGCCACAATCCACACAAACGCGGAAGACCAGAGAATGCGAGTTGCTGTGACCATACCTGTACGGGTGCTTTATGGCAATGTACCTGTCTAGGTACATCAGAGCTAGGTGTAACAGCGATGCTTTGCCTAATACCGTGATAACGACGCTCGATAGTTGCCTTATGAAGCAGTATGTATTAGAAGATTCAGCTTGTAGAATCGCTATGTTCACTGCGATAAAAGTAGGCTGTCCAATCACACCCATGAAACAATCTGTGGTCGCTAAGCATGCAAGTGCTATATTGGACTTGGTTTTCAATCGAAATTTTGCTTTTACAGCGATTATGACAAGTCCGTTCAATAGACTTGTAACGGGGAGAGTAATGAAACTCACTATTATTAAGGTAACCGTTACCGCACGGGCCTCTGTGGTATTAGAAGAAAGAAGAATCCTTCCTTTGCATTCAGTTATGTTTTCGCTACTGGAAGATGCGCTTGAATTCATCTTGTTCTGAGTCTTGTCTTTCTAGGTAGACAAGAACTAAATCTGTAATGGCTTTACTCTCTCTTGACAAATTATGAACATTGGTACACCAGTAGGATTAACTTCTTCACAGGAAACACTTTGCTTTCAATGTGGCTAAAAACAAAAGACATTACTGTGACGAATCTAATGCATATCCTGTCAATTGTAAATCAAGTAGTGAGAACAGGACTTAAGTGAACTTGAGTCCTTCGGACTATTCCAGCTCGCTTAATTTGTCAGATACAATCGAATGTCGCTTAGGTTTAACTGTGAAGGACCGCGTCCGAGTTCATAATGAGGAAGTAAAGTCAACACTTAGAAAGGCAAAGAGAGAACAATTGATTCAGTTTACAGTAAGTGCAATCAATTTGAACAGAAGGGCAACAAATATGATCGGCCTCAATTCAAAGATATCTCAATGTTACGGATCAACCAAAAATCCTGTGACTCGCACAAAATCAATTTTAGCCGAAATACGAATACGACAGGAAATACGAATAGGGACCATGTGACGAAGAAGAAAAAAAAATGCTAGCTAGCCAGGTTACATAGTAACCACTGACTGCCTTTGGAACATGCAATAATATGATCAATCGCACTCCAAACCTATTGTCCCAGCACGGGAACTAAGTTATGGGAGGAAACCGTAGAATTCATTTAGAAACCGTCAGAAGTTAGTACAATTCAGCTTCATATAAGCGGCCTCTTATCGCTTCTGGGCAAGCGGCCTCTTACGACGTTTAAGGGAGGTTTGCCGCTGAATAGATTTCTATCAGAAATTAGCATAGTCTTTAGCAAAAACATCCAAACACTTTGATTCGCTTGTTACAACTTTCTCACAAGATGTGATGAGATTCTCTTGACTCAACACAAACAATAATATACACAATAACTATGGCGTAAACTATATAACCGGAAAAGGAGGTAATCACTAATGTCTGGTGAATTAAACGTTACATGGAAGTGTATTTTCGTTCATCATATTTTCAAACAAAGCCAAACCAAGTGTATCAAAGGCTTAGTGGCTGTTTAAAAGAGGTGACAGCGATAGAAGAACCTCGGAGGGTCTGAATGAGGTTTAATGTTTACTGTTTCCTAGTGAGTACTGTTATGTGGTTGGGGAGTTTTTTTTGTTTGTGAAAAACCCATACTCTAGACTTTTAGCATTGCCAGTTCTTATCTGCTCTAAAATCACTCACGAACTTTTTTTTGAGCCTCTGCTCAAAGGGACCGTAGCAGATTTTGGTCATCTTCATTAGTCTTCGAAAATCTTTCGGCAGTCTTCGGAAAACTTCTGAAATAATCGGGAATTGTCGGGAAATGGCTGAAAACTCCTTATATACTAAACAAACTAATATTGGCCTTTTGGGGGCAGTTTTTTTATTCTTTCTAGAAAAAAAAAATACTGTTACGGTGAAAATTTTTCTGTTAGTGTTAAAGTGCCCCAAAATTAACTGTTTCATGTTGCAGAGCCAAAAGTTTTTAAAGTGTTAAGTGTTATCAAGGATGCTTCAATCGTGATGCTCAAATGGAGGCCGCCGCTACTTGATAGAGGTTTAGTTTCTAATATTCTATTCTGCCATTTTTTTTCTCGCCACTTTTGTTTTTCACTTAACTTTTTGCAGAATTCTAAAGATTTGATTTTGCTTGGGGAAGTTATTTGCATGTTGTCATCTGTAATCCAAGGTATAAAATTCAAAATTTATTTATTTACTTATTACAAATGAATGGCAAATACTACAACAATAATAATGATAAATAAAAAAAGCCATAAGGATAATTTATAACAAAGTAGCGCGACCCCATGTAAAAACAAATCACCTCATAAGAGCAATTATAGTACTTGCGTTAAATGGAAAGAGTAGATTCAGTTTATGGTGTCTTAAAAGGCAAGAAAATCAA